TTTATATATTCTTTGCCATTGTCACATCTTAATTCTTTAATCCTTTTTCCTGTTAAATTTTGTACTTCATTTACATATTCAATGAAACATTCATATACTTGATCTTTTGACTGGATACAATATACTTTTACTAACTTACTATAATCATCTATAAAACTCAGAAAATACTTTTCATTACAATATCCTGTTGTAGTATGTGGTCCATTTATATCTGTATGCACTATTTCCAATATACCTTCAGCTCTTCGTCTATTATTCTTGAAAGGTAAGTTATGCATTTTATTTTCACAACATATAGCACATTTTACATAGTTATCTTCTAATTCTTTTGGTATCCCTTCTATCATTTCATTTTTACATAAAATATCTAACTGTGTGAAACTGATATGTCCAAGAGTTCTATGTAATTTTTCCTTCATAGACATTTTATTATTATTACTTCTTGTCAAATTACTTGTGTATTATATTCTGAAAGATAACTTTTCATCTTATATAGTCCCTCTTCCTTTTTAGCTATGGCTATTAATGGTCCATTTATTTTATATATTTTTGTATAAAAGCCCTTTGAAACAATAGTATGATTATTTGTAATTTTTGAATAACTCAACAAGTTAGCTTTCATTTCACTTACATAAAATACATTTTTTAAAATAACTTTTGATTTACTGCCATAAATTGGGAAATATACTGTAATTTGACCAACCTTTGTCGCTTCTAGTATTCTACCATCTCCAACTTTTACTTTAACGGGTTTCTGTAATATTTCTTGTTGTTCATAATATTTGTCACAGTTTATTATATGGTCTGTACACCCACTATCCAGGAGCCAGTCTATATCACCCATATTTAAAGGATTTTTGTTTAAATTTGACATATTTATATCTATAGTAGTATGGAAACTACTGCCGGGCTTGATATTTGATACTTGATAATTGTTTCGTTTCCCACGATTAGCAAATGTCCCACGGCTATGATAGTTTGGGAAACCACGACCTCTAAAATTTGAGAATCCTCGGCCACATCCTTGATTTGTATTTTTATACCAGCAGGCATTCTTTAAATGTCCTGGCTTTCCACAAATAAAACATAAATTATTTTCTTTCCTTTTAGTTTCAACTTTAAAAGCATTTGACTTATCTATCACCTCCTCTTCTGATCCATTATTCTTTTCTTCCAAATATTTCATCTTAATTTTAGCTTTTAAATAATCAACAGTTCGATCTTTCTCGGGAAGTACATCAATAATGTCTCCTATGTGACTGTAATGTTTTGGTAAAGATTTTAACATATAATTCAGCTTTTCCTGCTCTGTTACGATTGCTCCTGCTTGTTTTAATTCATTTACAGATTTTTCAAAATTATCAAAATATTGGTTCAAGTCTGTGTAATTCTTTAACTTTATATTTTCGATATTATTTCGACAGACGATTTGTAATAAGGTGGAAACTTTTAAATACATATCATGGAATTTCTTTATGATTTTATACGCAGAGTCCAAATCACTTACATATTCTAGTTGTTTATTTGTAATTGCGCTGTAGATATAATTTGTTGCTTGGATGTCCATCTCAATCCATTTAATTTTATCATCATCACTTGTTATTTGACGTACGGCTACATCTTTACATTTTTTGTACTCCAAAAATTTTAATAATCGAATTTTCCAATTGTTGTATTCCATTCCATCAAACAAAGGTATGCCAATGTCCCCGTTCCGTGACGACGCCATTTTTGCACGCCAACTTTTTATTGTTGTAATTCACTTCACTTTATAAATTTTATGTATTTTATCCTTTTTTATTAAACCACGCTCTGGTACCATGTTAATATTTATAATTTTATAATAAAACGATCTTTCTTATATTTATATTTAATTGTTTCTTCTTGAACATGTCATTACTGTTTCACACTTTATAAACCAGAGAGTTAACAATATAGAACCAATCATAGACAACAATTATAGTTGCCAATTACTACTAATATAAAAATGCTAAATGTATGTATTTATACTTAACAGAAGTAACCCTGGGATTTTATTTACCGGCCATAACAATTCCTATTGACCTTGTTTGTGCGCCTCTTCTTTTGTACCACGACGAAGCCATCATCGTCGCGGTTGCCAGTGGCAGCACACGTACGGTCAATGTTCAGAGCACGGGGGTTGGCCGGCGGTGACACCACATCTGGTGACGTCAGTGTCGACACCGAAACCGCTGACTCCGCCGTGAACACATCGCGGCATGCCCCACGGCGCGTGTTGATGTTCGTAGCGTCAAGTGACCTAGTTTCTTTTCGCGAGTCGCGCAAACTGTCCACTTCCTTGCGCAACTCACTGATTATGTGCTCTAACGCATTGAAACGTAGCGTCACATCTGCCAAACTCTTTTTTAAGGACACGATATCCTTGAGTAAGCTGGTAACATCGACGTGATCAAATGTGACTGGAGGAAGTTTGTTTAAATCCTTCGCCACAAAAGTTGGCACGTCGTCTGGATCGGTCTCCTTCAGCAGCGTTATAATGTCCTGTACGCTTTTTTGTGTCCCGTCACGTCTACGAGACACCATCTGATTAGTCTTATTTAGGGACTCGAAGAGCAGAGCCTTCGCTCTCGCGATGTCGTCCTGGCTGAAGTTGGACACACAGATCTGGACTGCACTTACTTCGTCCATTACGTCCAGCTTCTGCTGCAGGAACGCAAGGAGTTCGTTGGCCACAAGTTTGTCACACATGGCTGGAACTTCGACTAGCACGGCTTATGCCGCGCTGAGCAATTACGATATTAAATAAAATAATTATAATACGTGCACATCGGATCGCGCTTACACTGAGACTGAATTATATGGTGAGTGTGCTCGGACATGATGGATTCAAGAATTGTTTCCAATTCCTGAAAGTAATCTAGAGATGGGGGACAATAAATAACACCTAGAACGATTTTGGTCCCCTTGACATAAGTACAAATAAATAAAAATTCAGCGTTAGCGGAGATGGGGGAAGAAGCCAGTACTTCGTATTTAAAAGAAGTCCGCAAGTAAATTGCAACACCACCGCCTCGTTTCTCCAAGCGGTCATTACGAATCATAACGAACCCTGGGAGACTGTAATTGGAGGACGGCATAGATGGTTTGAGCCAACTTTCAGAAATTAAAATAACATCAACATTAATGTTGTAAAGCATGTTAAAAAGTTCACCGTGATGTTGAGGAATGCTTTGGGCATTCAGGTGACAAATATTGAGGCTAAAAGGGAAACGCTGAAATTCGTCATAGAGAAGGGAAGAAAGAGATTCATTTAAAGAAATATTCGGCGACTGGATTGAGGGATTTGAGTCATCTAATGCAGAAAAAAAGAATCATCATCAGACATACGAAGTTCTTTTTTTATAAAAAATAAAAAAAAAACTATTTGTTGATTGTATAAATCAATAAATAAATATTAATAATACTAAAGTAATATAAAAATAGAAATAAAAAAAATAATATATAAAAATACAACTAATAATATTATTTAGTCTCTGCTAGAGCCCGCCGGCCGTCTGTTAACAATAAAAAAAAACAAAATACATATATCCAATCAACATGTACAACAATTAGATAGAATTACTAATATTGAACAAAAAATAAAAAAATCTAAGTCAACAATCACTACGTAGAATAATGTTGAGTGAAATCGCGTATAGAAAATGAAAATTAATATTTGACAATCAGAATAAAGTAATCGGAGAAAGTGTCATCTGACAGCTGTCACTTGACACATTACACAGATTATATGCAGATGTAAACATAGAAGTCAAGTTATTATAATACTAATAATTAAAGTAAACGAGCAAAATCATAAATATGAGGGTGAAACTAAAATAAAATTACGCAGTAGTGATTGCTATATAACATTGAAATTGACCGGATAATACTAAATTCCAACTACTTAACACTAATGCTTGACCCGCATACCACGACGAGTTCTTGAGTATCCAGAAACCTTATGGACTCGCTGAGCTGACTGGGAAGCTGGATCCGGCAATTTAGACGATGTGGGCTCGCTGGATTTGGGAATTATAGCGTCCAAATCATCAATGTTGTTAATGCGGCGGCGACCGCCAGACGGATCTTTAGTGTATATATTACCGCTTAGCGTCCAAACGTTTCTCATACCTAACCGCTTCCGGGCCTCGAGGAACAATTCCTGCCTCCGTCGAGTCAAGAATTCGGAAACAACAAGCATGGTCCCCTTCAATTTAGTCTTGCTTTTCCAAATTAATGAACTGAGAGCAGGATTAATGGTACGAAATATAATGGGTCTACAACGGCTCTCAATCGCCGTACCTAGGCGATGACAACTAGAAATGTCAGAGGCTTGGACATCGGATAGCTTGAGGTGATCCTTGCAGATAGTGGCAATCACAGAGGCCAAGTCATCGCCACTCTCTGGAACTCCGCCAAGTAGAAGATACTTCCGTCTGTGTCTCATCTCTATTTCATCGGTTGTTTGGATCAAGTATGCTATTTGCTGACGAAGAAGACCCAAGACTTCATGAGTATAGATCTTAAATTCATTAAATTCATTGGACAATTGTGCGATTGTGAGTGTATCCGTTGTTTGAGGAGTAATAGCCTGGAGTTTACCTTCAAAACCCGCCATCATCTTAAGAAGTATGTTCTCCAATGTCTTCTGTGTAGAGGCCAAGTCAGCAAAGTTCGCCATCTCCAAAGTGTTAAGTGTTGTGACAAAAATGAGACTGGCCGGCAGGATTATGCAGATATTTGGTTATTTAATACATGTAAAGATATGCTAACACTTTATATTAATCTTTAGACAATAAACAATGCACTTAAGGTGAGATAATATTATTTTAGTTAATAAAAACAATTAAATTAATATAAAATTTGAAGAGAGATATTTTAAGTGTACAACTACCTACTACATATATGGCATCATAGCTGATTACATACAGCAACGTAAAGTTGTCCTCGATTATGCCGGAGTTAGGGCTACAAAGGGCATGACCCGAGGTTGCGTGCAGGGGTCCGCATGTGGTCCAACCATGTGGAACATCATCCTTGATGAGCTTTTACAGACGGAACTCCCTGAGGGGTGTCACATTCAAGCATTTGCGGATGATGTGCTTATGATAGTCACTGCGTCGGATGTCTCTACATTGGAGAGTAGGACAAATACTGCGCTAAAAACTGCTACACAATGGGGTGCCGGAGTAAAACTTACCTTTGGTCCTAATAAAACCCAGCTGATAGCTTTTACTCCAAAGGCTAAGACGGCGGACATTCTCATGGATGGTACGGTTCTTAAATTCACTAAGGAAATTAAGTTGCTTGGCGTTATACTGGATGAAAAGCTCTTATTTAGATCCCATGTGCGCTACATCACTGAAAAGGCTATGCGTATTTTTCAACGACTGTGCTTATATGTCAGACCAACTTGGGGAGCTCATTCAGGAAATGTAAGCATTATTTATCATGGCGTCATTGAGCCAATCATTACGTATGCAGCGGGCATTTGGGGACATGCAGCTAAGAAGAAATGTAACCGCAAGACGCTCGAAAGAGCACAAAGAGGCTTTGCTTTAAGAACTATTAAAGGGTTTCGAACAGTATCAACTACCGCTGCACTTGCGTTGGCACAATTTACCCCGCTGGATCTTAAAGTGTTGGAGGTAGCCAATGTGGAGCGAACTCGGCTGCTGGGCACCACTGATCTTCTCCCTGAAGACATCGAACTGGAAAAACAGACACCTGTACATCAATTATTGCATCCCGCAACTAGAATTTCTATTCCTTTACTACTAGCTGATAGTCAAGAGAAAGCAGATACTTTTATTAAAATCGATACAATAGCAATATTTACCGACGGTAGCAAACGAGAAACTGGCGAGGTTGGTGCGGCCTTCATATGCTGTGATCCAGAAGCGACGGTGCCAGTCATAAAAAAGAAGTTCAAATTGCACTCTAGCTGCAGTGTGTACCAGGCTGAGTTATTCGCAATTTGCCGAGCCTGCGAATGGGCTGTTGCCCACAAATACCCGCACACTGTCATTTACACTGACTCTTTATCATCAATCAAATCAATACAGAACCGTAGTAACACTCATCCCATTGCTTCTCGCATTCATCATGTGCTCCAACAATCCCTTCATCCAATAGAATTTGTGTGGGTTAAAAATCACGTAGGTATTGCGGGCAACGAGGCAGCGGATGTTGCTGCCGGGGGGGCGAGTCGGCTGCATAAAGCACCAGAGTACGCCAAATTTCCTTTGACCTACGCTAAGACTTTATATAAAAAGGACGCTCGCATTTCGTGGCAAAACAGATATATATCCGCTGAACAGGGAGCTCATACTCGCAAGCTCCTTCCTCGCCTTGAAGAAGTTTGTTGTAAAACCTTGCGCAATTTCCATAAAACGAATTACTAACTTTCGTCAAACTAACGTGAGATTAGTAAGCCTACTATTCACTTTATATTTAATCGATGGTATTCGTATCCACTTCGGCCATCCAACGTTATCGAAGGGCCTCATTCGATATTATAATAACAGTTAACATCGGGTAATATAATAAAATTAAAATCATATAAAATTTAGTTTGAGATAATTTACATACTTAAAATATGAAAGTTGCCACTGACAACTACACATTACATTTCAACATCATGAATTCAGTCTTTGTTATATTTTTCCGCCTTAAGTTGTATCACTTAATTTTTCACACCAGGTACTAGTCAGCATCTCTGCAAACACGGCTGCCTAGCTAATTAGTGAAATACCTGTTAAAACAAAACATTAAAAAATGCCACCGCTTGCCCACTATGGCTACGGTCTCAACAGATCTGGATTTTATTAGACTCAGCCACCGCTTGCCCGCACAAGGAGCTACGGCCTCAAACTGGTCAAATTCTCATTAGACTCAGCCACCGCTTGCCCACACAAAGAGCTACGGCCTCAAACTGGTCAGATTCTCATTAGATTCAGCCACCGCTTGCCGCCACAAGGAACTACGGCCACCAACTGAAACACATCAAATATTTAACAACTGGTAATTTTCTCAATGAGGCATTCACCGCTTGCGCACGCAAGGAGTTACGGCCTCCAACTAGTCATATTCTTTATGGTACTATGCTATTTTTACTTCAGCCTCAAGTGCTCTACATTGCAACTCAACTATGGGTTATATGCACTCCCATCAAATTTTACTATTACTTTTTATTCTATTACATTTCTTTAAGAACTGGATTTCCTGGTTCCATTTTACTATTTCTCCACCGCTTTAAAGGACTTTATAACATTTAATCATAAGTTAATTCAATTTAATTATGTACCAAATTCGAATTATATATCTGGTTGATATATATCTACCAATTTCTGAACGAACTTGCAATATATTACTACCACATACCCTACTCCTATTATTATCTACCAAATCTTGAGTAGCATCAACAAAAAGCGAGTCGTTCGTTGTACGTCGCATTGAGCACACGCGGATCCCCATTTTCTCCGTGAACTAACGTATACGGAACCATCAGCCGCGATCTCAGCGCAATCATCTCATCAGTATATCATCAAATCTAAATCACCATCATTTACCTTAAAATCCATAAATAGTATTCATATTCATATGATTATTATATTAATCTCATAATTTCATCAAAGTATTGCAAATCATTTTTCATTGTCATATCAACCGCCCGTTCTATTAGCCATTTTGCTCATAACTCAGCTTGTCATCGATTGTAACTCATCATTGTATCACTAGCATTCCTTAATCTTTCAGATCTATTCGTTCATGTACAACTCTTCACCGCGTATATTTACCGACTATTTTCCATCGAGGTGTATCAAATTTTACCTTGTGATCGTCCTTACTACAATCTTGCAGTGTAACTATCTTGTACACCTCGAGCGCTTTATTCATAATATTTCTAAAGTGTCTGTATACGGTGTCTGGGTTCTATAAATTAGCACCTCTTCTAATTTCCCATTAATTACAACAGGCACATAAAATCAATTCTGAAAGGATTAATTTCAATTTAAACTATTTAGTTAGTACAATAGTCAATCCGATTTCTCCAAAGGGCGTTCAGCCACACATACAAGTGCATATAGGTGCTCAGACTAATCTATGGAATCAAATACCCAGCATTTGATTGCGTTGATCATTACTTATAAAAATTTTAACTTCCGTCGTCGTCAAAGACAACGCTTTAAATTTAATTCAATCTTATTTATCTGATGAATATCAACCAAATATTTGAAAACAACATCACCGTTATTATTATAAACTTCCAATATCTCTACACCTGTAATTTTGTACAATTCAACATTAAAACACCCTCACTTATTTAATACATCCTGTTGGCGACAGCTCCTCAGGGAGAGCAGTGGACTGTATCGATGGTGGGGTTTGAAAGAAACGGTTGTCTCTTGAAGCCTGTTTATTCTCTCCACAGAAGTTTCACAATTGAGTTATAACCGTATTCGATGTTACATTCAAGTTTCAGCCGCTGTAGCTCAGACTGTATGGCGTCTATAGGAAACTACCGCGACTGACTTTACAATAATAACGGACTATAACTGCCGTCCGTACTGTGTTCGATTATGACAGCCGTCGGCATATAACAATCCGACTATGTCTGCCTGAGTCCCTCTATTATAACAGTATTATGACTCCCCCGATACAAAAATTCCTCGCCTTATATATGGGAGGTATAGACTGTAGTGGGGACTACAGTCCTTACAAAATTCTTACTGGCAATAAACCTGGTTCTTGCATTTATTTTATATTTGCGTCGGCTCTGTCCTTGTATCTTAATCTGTACCGATCGACTATTTATTTCGCATCGGTCAGCGTTTATTCCATGCATGTTTAGTGGGTGAATCGGTCCGTTCGCCCCCACTGCTTTTGCTATTTTTTCATCCAATAGCGTAACTGTAGATCCCTCATCGAATAGTGCATATATTCTTTGTTTTCCTTTCGGGCCAATTACAGTGACTGGACATATTTTTAATTTGATGTCGGTACTCTTGTCAAATGTCGTTGTCGTAACCGCTTCGTTGTCGATGTCTTCAGCATTGTCACCGGTGTTTGCGCTGAGCCCTGTGTGTTGGTGCAGCAGCGGGTGGTAGCGAAGCTTACACGTGCTGACGCCGCACGGTATTGCTTCGCAATTGTGACGTTTATTTTTACTTACGAGACATTTAAAACACAGACTGCCTTTTTTAACAACGTTCCATCGTTGATCGATTGTTTTTGTTGTGAATTCAGGACAAACTGTTAACTTGTGTTGTCGTCTGCAGTCTGGGCACACAATCGTGTGTCCCTTATTCTCATTTTCTACAGTTTCAACTGTAAAAACATGTCTCTTATTCCTAGGCGGTATCGCTGTCTGCCCATGCATCGTGGGTGATCGCGGTATTTCTTTTTTTACGTATGTAGGCGCCGAATATCCATATTTCATAGCCCTTCTCGCCTCTTGCGTAAGATGGTTTGAAAGTTGAATTATGTCTGGTATATCCTGCTTCTCATTTTTCTCTGCAAATATATACCAGTTCGATCGTTGATGGGGACTCATTTTCTCCAGTACTTCCCTGGTCAGCATCGGGTTGAACAGATAACCTTTTTTTACTTGACTCAGAACTGTTACGATGTTTTGTACTTTAACTGCGAATGCATTAAATTCGCTAGTGGACTGCCCTGGTCGTGGCAGTCGCTTCAAGTCTTCAATAGCACGATCGGCTATTATTTCGGGATGACCGAAGCAATGTTCCAGCGTTTCCATAATACGATCTGGATGGGTCGAGGCATTCAGCAACGGTGCTACCATTTCTCTAGCTTCACCCCGCAGACTGTTTCGCAATCTCGCTATGTTTTCGACTGCTGTAAAGCGATACAGTGCTGTCGTCTCCGTCATAGCTGCGCGGAATTGAAGCCATTCCCACGGCGACCCAGTAAATATGGGTAAATCAGTAGCTTGTCGTGGTGGTGGCCTGGACTTCATAAGAAATTCTACCGCGCTCGTTAGCTTGTCTATGGCTCGTTCCATTATGTCCGTCGGTGTTGATGATCGTCGATGCTGGTCTTCATTGTTCTGTGTCTTGATCGGGGTTTTTAATTGTTCCCCGTTCACGTGGCGAGTCGGTTTGGTACTTATAAATACCGGCTCCCCTCGTATGTTGTCCGTGGGTGGTCCATTTTGTTTCAACCACTCCTGGACACGATGTTCGTTCTGTTCTGTTTCCCCTGGGTCTGCTGAATATCTGTTCGAGGCGGCAGTGTTCATTGCTAGCTTCTGACGTGTACGATTGTCCATTTTAGGATCCATGTCAGCTAGTTGCATCGCCTCGTCCTGCACGCTTCTTATAGATTGTACGGACGGTGTCGGTGTTCCTCTTCTATATTGTGTGACTTCTTGCCTCATTGCGGTGGCGGTTGACGGCCCGGCGAATTGTTCAGCGCCGGCCATCCAATTTTCAACCTGATATCCGCGGCGTGTGGAGGGTACGGTGTCACCGGGGCTCCGATGTTCCTGGGGGCCCACCCTATTCATTGACGGTGACTGTGGTGATTTTTCATCTAGCGCTGCCGCTTGTTCATCACGTTCCGCTTGGCCTCTTGTGACTACCATTTTATCTCCGTAGGTCGCTGTCAGCAGATCCGGCGCTCGAAGGTCCAACACTGTTGGCGACAGCTCCTCAGGGAGAGCAGTGGACTGTATCGATGGTGGGGACTACAGTCCTTACAAAATTCTTACTGGCAATAAACCAAACCTTATTTCTATCAGACAATGCACAACGTTATACAACTTCATAACAATATCTTTGCACATTGCCGAAATTCCCTTACTTCTTTATTCTCACAAACTAACAGTTTCTCATAAAGAATGCATTGCATTTTATATCTACCCAAGAATATTTAACATTGGTGCAATAACCAATTTCCTTGTCTAATTACAATGCTCTGTAAACATGGATTGGACAATATTCATAAAGACATGAATTACCGTGTTCCGTCCGTTAGTCTACAATAAGAATATGTTTACAATAAGAAACACTACGGTCATCATAAACCCAATGGGTAAAAATAGTAACGGTGTTATCATATCACAAAAGGCCAACAAATATTCATTGTGTTTATAAACAATGAATGCCAAATGAACGCTGGTACCCAAACAGATGTTCAACCGTTATCGTAGTTTTAAACAGTGAATCGATGTCTGATTCTAAAACTGCACTTTTAAGAACTAATATTATTTCTAAATTATTGTCCAATTTCAACACACAACTTATTGTCTACCTGATATACACAAATATTATAGGTGCGACGCGACGCCGCTTATACGTGTCGCCTGTCGTCAATACATCCGTTCTCGTATGCTATGCAAGTGACAACATCAATTCTTATATGTTGATGAGGTCACTATTAAAAGCCTTAGTTAACACTTTTATTTTACTTCAACTCAACAATTATGTCAAAAGTTACAATGGTCTAAATACTGTTGTATTGGATGTGTTGTACTCATATTCAAGTCAATTGAGTCAACATGTATACCAACAATTCTTACATGCTCGTTAATTTAGCATTATACGCTTCGATTATACTCTTTTTTTTTTTTTCAACCAATTAAAATCTTAATAGATACAATATCTCAAGATTTAACAATATTTAACTTTCTTATATCTTAACTTTCATTTATATCCTCTAGTAACTTTTCTTATATATTCCTGGGATAAAATTGACAGATATAGCCTTACTTCCACAACTTATATTCTCTCTCATTTTATTTGCATTGGCTATAAAGGTCTCTTAAAACAGTTATAGGTTCAATAGGATCCTTTCAACTTAAATCTAGTATACCCATGTACACTTTTCAAAACTTGAATGCTCATACATTTAACAACAATCAATTGTCCTTTTGTTTTTTTTTTCTTTTAACTACCTGTGCTTCTTAAATTTGTATTCACTATAATACCATTATAATTAAAGAACAATGGCTCAGCTCGCAAACATTTTCTCAACAAATAATTCTCTATAACATGTAAAACTTACAACTTAGACCATGCAGTATTTATTTTTCATTCTACATATATGCTATTCATAAAGTAGTTTATTATCCATCAGTAAACCATATAAAAATCTCATAAATTACGCCAGTATCCATATTCATAAACCAGAATGCCAGCTGACCATATATAAATGTTGATCCGTTTTGAGCCACAACTGTCACGACGAGTAATAATAATAATTAAGCGATTTATACACGATTTTATACAAATCCACCTTTTTGGCATACGAGCAGTTCTTGATCCAATTCAAACGGGCCAATCAGGGTGCAGCATTTGCCAAGGGCTTCCTCATTGGCACGTTTGGGCTACTACATTATGGCTACAGTAACTTAATAATGTCTAGCTAGTATTTCAAGAATAATAGTCTATCTAATCTAAATATTTATAGAAATCAGTCTGGAGTAACGTGACTCCAGATCAAACCTCAATACTTATTATTTTTTGGACGGGAATCTTTTCTTTTGTAACAAAGTTACTGAGCGAATAAAGAGAAGACGCAACGGCGGATCCAGGGGGGAGCGTCATGGAGGTCATGGGAGTCATGGGGGCGTCATGACTCTCCCCCTTAGCCCAGGACTTAGGTAGACCACTAATTGAACTAAAAAATAATGAAACAGCAAATTTTTTTGCACGATCGGAGTGTTGGTGCAGTAGTATTAATTATAATTAAACATTGTTACTTAAAACATAACAGTTAAAGTACTATAACACTAAAAGCAAAATAGGTATTTTCAAAATACTTTTTCAAAATAAATTACCCTTTGAGTTTTTGTCCAAACCTCAGATATTTTATTTATTTTAGGTATATCAATCATTACATAGTATAGTATAAAACAAAGTCGCTGTCGCATCTAACAAGTACATAAATAAAGAAACAAGACTTTTTGGCTCTGAATATATTTCAAAAATCAATTACTTGTGTTAATCAATTTATATACTCGTTCTTATTTCATAGTACTTGTTTTGATCCGAATATATACAGATACCGTAACGGTCTATTAATTATGAATTTATTATACCTAACCTAGATATTTTATTTTGACGAAACTCCGTGTAGTAGTAGTATCCGATAAGGGTATGCGAACCCTAAGTATTATTTCAAAATGACCAGTAATTTCGAAGAAATAAGCCTTTGAATTTCAAATCAACTTACCAAACGGACGCTCAAGGTTCGATTCCCGCCACCGATTTTTTTTTGTTATTTTTTTTTTTGTCTTTATTCTAATTTTAAATTAACTATTTTAATAATTAAATGAATTTAATCGAACAAAACGTTGTTAAGTATTCAATTAATTTTAATTTACATTACCTATTGTACTTTCTAAATTGTAAAGCAGCTAACAATTATAGTAAGATCTTATAAAT